CTTCACCATGATGAGAAAGCGGCGGTATCGGAGGCGGAGGCGCTTGACGCGGTGGAGGAGCAGAGAAGAAAGAAGAAGAGGCAGGCGTGCACAGTGCAAGCACCCCGGCCCCGTCACCTTATAAAGGATCACTTCCGAGTGATTGACGCGTGGGGCCGGGCAATCCCATCAAATCCTGCTACAGTTGCGCGCAGCGAACGTGGCGAAAAAGGCAGCGCGATGATCGATGCGTCACTGCTTATCCGCCCCCCCCCCCTTTTTCGGCACCCTCCTGCCCGCGTGCACCCCCGAAATTTCGTATCCCGCGGAATCCGAGATTCCCCGCGGGCAATCGCACCCGAGATCTCGCACTCCAACATGACACTCGACGCATTAGGCCACCAGTTCAATCGACAACTCTCTGAATGGATCAAGGCAACCGAGTCGACTCCGAAGTACCAACGCAGGCGTTCAGTCTAGCAGGAAACACTCGCGGAGACACAAAGCTCAGGACAGGTCCAACTTTGTCTTACTTTCCCCTCACACCTTAATCCATTCGGGGGCTACTGACGAAGATACAGACCCGGGGTAGGGTCATAGACTCGACCTATACGTCCTACCCAAGGTCACTACCCTGGAAGACGGAAAGACCAAGAGTCAATAGAAGAGCGCCAGTATTATACGTCGAGTGCGATCCACTTGACGTTCACATCACTCGATGGTCTCTACCTACGGTCACTCGACCATAAGGAAGGCCACTCGACCATATCGAATACCAAGAGTCGGAAGAGCACGCAAGGCCAGATATTTACTCCTTAGTCTTCATGAGCATTAAGAGTACTTAATGCTGGCGTTACCAGTAACGCCCCTTACTTTATGTACATTAGTTCCCTTCTAATGGAGACGGGCTGGGGTCCTGGCGCACTCTATATAAGCCACCCCCTCCTCTGGCACAAGGGTTCGCACCCTCTGTAACACAACTCACATAATCCAATCGACTGCCTTCGGGCACCGAGACGTAGGGCTATTACTTCCTCCGAGAAGGGCCTGAACTCGTAAACCTCGTGTGTACATCTTCGCCATAGCTAAGATCTTGCCTCTCCATTCCTACCCCCCTTTCTACTGTCGCCAACCCCCGCGACCGGCCCGCTCCCGAATGCCCACCCCCTGGAGGAGGGACTGAGGGGTCGCGCGAGGGGGAGCGGCTGCGGCTAGAGCGCTCACCATCGTCCTCCGGGTCCTCGTGGCGGGAGGGGCACGGACGGCGGTAGTGGGAGTCGTCGCGGTGGTCCGCACTTCCCCCGCCAAAGTGGCCCTCAGTGAAGTGTCGGGGGCGGCCGATGTGGTTGGGAGGCTCAGGGTAGATCTTGAGGTCGAAACCCTGGTCATTGAAGAAGACCTGGACGATGGCACGGAGGGTGGAGGAGTCAAGGCACTTGACCTTGACGCGGACCTCCTCCTCCTTGCGGAGAGAGAGCTCGTCCACCACCACCACCTTGCCCAGGAGCATGGACATACTGCGGATCATCTTCTTAAACGAGCGATGTCGGGGAGGCCAGCGACGAGGATCCAAGCAGTATCCAGCACGGCCACAGCCTTGGGGTCCATCAGGGGCTCAGAGATGTTGACGACGAGCTTGTTGAGGGTGAGGGTGATGTCGTCACTACGGGTGCAGAGGACCAGTCTAAGGGCGTCGGTGAAGATCACGGTGAAGGAGCTGTCCGAGGTCGGAGTCACCTGCCAGTCCCATACACGGCGGCAGAGGTGGTTGAGCTCGGCCTCGATCATCTCCGGTGAGGCGACCCCCGCCCCAACAATGGTCACGACCGCAAGGAGTGACAGAGATGGAGGAGGGACGTCCTCGGCCTCGATGTGGAAGAAGCTGAGACCCTCAATGTTGTGGCCGTACATCATGAGCTCCTCCGACACCGGGCGATCCGGGCAGAGGGCCGCAGGGTGGCCCGAGTCCTTGCAGAGGTAGCACATCGGCGGGTTGGGGCACTCAACCTGGTAGTGACCGGCAATGCCACGGTTGAAGCACGACGGGGGAACGCGGGGGCCCCGGAA